TTTTAATTTTTTTTTTTTTTTTTTTTTTTTTTTTTTTTTTTTTTTTTGTCTTCAGAGAAGATTTATCAACCTGGTCTTATTAATATTACAACCCGATTTTATAGCAGCATGTGCTGAGTTACCCACGACAAAAATCATTGTCCTGGTCACAATTATAAATTCTTAAATTATGAATAAATAAAAATGAGCTATGAATCAGTGAATAGTACTCGTAGATCTGTCGAAATATATAAATTAAAAAGTGACTGAACTCAAAAGTATCTACAGTAGAAAGATTTTTTTTTTTTTTTTCCAATCGTAGAAACTTGTGTTTCACTTGAAAAATAATTCTATTTGTACCGAAAGTTGTCCACCCCCCCCCCAACCTCCTCTCACAATGCATGCAAACCTTGTATGAATATAAAAATTCTCAAATGTAATCCCCACCTTCTATTGTAAAAATTATGTACTCGTAACATTGTACTTTATTTGAAACCTGCATTATCAAAGGCTGAAATTCAATGCTACTAATTATAGCATAGGACACTGCGGTAGTTTAGAATTTATTTTTCAATGTTACTTCTTCCTTTTTTATTTTTGTCGTCAGAGAAGATTTATCAACCTGATCATATTAATAGTACAACCCGATTTCATAGCAGCATGTGCTGAGTTACCCACGACATGAATCATTGTCCTGGTCACAAGTATACATTTTTCAATTATTAATAAATAAAAATGAGCTACGAATCAATGAATAGTACTTATAGATCTCTCAAAATACATAAATTAAAAAGTGACTGAACTCAAAAAATAACTACATTAGAAAGAATTTTTTTTTTCCAATCGTAGAAACTTGTGTTTCACTTGAAGAATAATTTTATTTGTACCGAATTGGAGGTATCGAAAGTTGTCCCCCCTCTCACAATGCACGCGAGCCTCGCCCGAATATAAAAATTTTTAAATGTGTCCCCACTCCCTATTCTAAGTAGTAAGTAAAGAATTAGATAAACAAAAATTATGTACTTGTAGTATTGTCCTTTATTTGAAACCTGCATTATTAATGGTTGAAATTTTATGCCCCAAAGTCCAAGATGAAGAAAATTAAAGAAGAACCTGGAATAGAAAAGACCAAACATCACTCGGACAAAGAAAAAGAAGAGACAAGACAATATATGAGCACGTAGTCACATGGATGCATGTACTGCGGCATTGATTAAGGTTATTGCAATAATGCATTTTTGCTTTGCTTTCTTCTTTTTCTAGTCATTCAACTACCATCTTAATTAACTAAACGCCAACAAACACAAATTTACGGTGGAATTTGAACGTTTACGTCGATGGTTATAGTTTCGTGAAACTTAGTTTATTGGTTTGTATAGATTGAATATGCAAAACTTCATTTTTCAATGTTAAGAACCTATAATTACATTACGTGAAATGTTGAGGAGCTCAACTCATTTTATCTTTAAAGTAAACGTAGACATTTTGAATCAAAGAGGTAAAAGTTCGAGAGTAAAAGAGCTTATCGGAATTAAGGTTAAAGGCACGTCGTCTCATTAAAGGGCCATCCTTATGTAGGGGCCACATATAGGCCTAGCCTCTATCCCAAGGAAATTAGGTCTACGACCCAAAATCAAGAAAATAAAATAACACTCTTAATTCTCGTTAATCTTTAATTAGTAGTAAAGTTTACGAGACTTTTCATTTGTATAATGTGTTTTCACTTTTTGTTCTGAAAGTGATAAAAAGTGGCATGACATCATCTTTTATTTCAAAAGTGGTATGATATAGGGGTGTAGTGATCCGATTTTACCGATTTTTGACAGATTTTCAAATCAAATTGTTTAAATCAGTTTGAGAAAAACTTAAACCTAAACCAAATAATTTCGAACGGTTTGAAAAAAATTCAAACATAAACCTAACGCTTTGGTCCGATTTTAAACCGTCGGTTTCGTCGTATATTTTTTTGCCTGTCTACTTTTACGTCATTAATTCATTGAATTCAATATATATTTATATCTTACTAGAAATAAATTTAAAACAATCTAAATATATCTATTATAAATTTAAATACCAACTAAATCAAAGTGAAATCACTATAAACTAAAACATAGTTTTTTGTTTGTCATTTTTTGGCTAATGACGTTACGATAACGTTACAATAAAAGTCTGCTAAACTAAATATAATGTCAAAAATATTAATGATATCTAACAAGTCGTGATCATCATATCTGCAAGAAAAAAGTTACTGATTAGACAGAGAAAATAATCAACCACAATAATAAAACAATTGTTTATAATATCTGAACATAATAATTACACAAGCTTTGAGGTCCTGAGCCCAAGATAAAATTTAAAACTTGACAAAATTAGTAATAATAATAACTAATTAGGACTATTGGGTAATAATAATATATATGTAATAGAAAATTAAAAATTGACAAAAATACCCATAAAAGACAAAAGTCATAAAACTATTGAATTTTACATATTTGAATGAAATTTTTTAAAAAATTCATTTTATATTTTTTTGTCAATCTGATTTGGTTTTAAACCGCAATTAAAATTCTCAAACCTAAATTAAATCGTTGGTTCAAAACCATTTCTTTGACGGATCCACATGGCAACAAATCGATGGTTTCTAAAATGTGATTTTGATTCGATTTTTCAGTTTGACGATTTTTGTTTATAGCCCTAGTATGATATGTTACTTTTTGTTTCACAAGTGGCAAAACTTTTGTGAGACTACTATAATTTGACAGTACATTTGAGAATGAACTATTATCCAAATTCATCTAAAAAAATAAAGCTTGCTTTGCCTGTGATTGCTGAGATACGGAAACAAGGAGGTTAACATGATCATTTTAATCCATTGAACTTTTGTAATGCTTATAATTAAATTTCCATACCAACGACGTTATATATTGTTAAAAGTGGAGAAATTTTTTTTATTTTATATCTTAGAGATAAGGTTAAAAATGATAGAGGTAGAAGCAAAATTGAATTTTACCTCTTTAAACGATACGTTGTAGTTATCAAATTATTCTTTGCCACTAAGAAGAAAATTCAAACAAGAAAATTTACCAAATCAAGCAACGAAAAAAACATATTGGTTGATCAAGTTCATCTTTGATCATCTTTGATTTTTCAACTTCTAAATGAGGAATTCAAGTTGTATTTATCAAATGACAAACCGCCATACGAAATCTATAAATAGGCCTTGGGATTTGTTCATTATATATGCATGTTCAATGAGTGTGTGACAAAAAAATTGAGCACTAAGTGAGGATTTGAGATAGATAGAGTTTGTTATTGAGAGAGATAGAGAGTTTGAAATACTTTGTAATTCCTATTTGAAATTCATCTTGTAATCATGTGTTCCTATTTCATAATAGAGCCGCTTTATTTCTTAAGTGAAATCTTTATCCTAGGTTTGCTAATTTTTCATTATCCTGGGCATATCTTCCCTAACATATGTCACTTTCTATTTTAAAAGTGGCATAATGCTAATATTTTTTTTCCAAAAGTGAAAATGATAAAAAAAAAAAAAAAAAAAAGAAGAAGATGTAAAAGAAAATTTTTTTTTTTTTTTTTTTTTTTGGTGAAACTGCTAAAAAAAAAAACAACTGTCGGGTGTGAACAGTGACTTTTTTCCTAATCAACTAGAAAGAAAATTGAACAAGAAAACTGCTACCTTACAACAATTTTTTTTGTTTGTGCTGTTCCACGAGTTTTTGGGAAGAGGATAGGAAGAAAGTTTTGGATTGTGAATAAAAAATTACCCAAGTTTTGGCTCTGATACCAAATTTGATGTAGGACGAATTAAAAAATAGAAAGCAGAAGCAAGAAAGAGGGAAGAACCGGAGAGAATGGGAGGAGAAACTGGAGAAAAAGTAGAAATTCATGAGGGTGAGGGGAAGGAAGAGGAAGGAGAAGCCATAGACAACAAACCACCAAAATATTCTTCAATTCATCAAATAATAATAATATTTTTTTTCAAAAAAAAAAAAAAAAAAAAAAAAAAAAAAAAAAAAGGAAGAAGATGTAAAAGAAATCTCTAATATGTATTCTACATAATAATAATAATAATAATAATAATAATAATAATAATAATAATAATAATAATAATAATAATAATAATAATAATAAACTGAAAGAAAATCCAAAATTAAAAAAATAAATAAATTAAAATATTTGAGTTTCATGACTTCCGACCTTTTTTTTTTTGGTTTCTTCAAAGTAACAACTAAAATGATTTCACTTCCTATTTCATTAAACTTTTACATTTGTTTATCTTGTTCTCATTTGCCTCTATAAATAAATGAAGACATTAATTTTATTCATATCTGTAAAAAGAATTCAAATTAGATAATGTGCGACTTTCTTGAATAAAGTGGCAAAGTATGTCATTTTCAAATTTCAATACCTTAATTAATATGCAAGGCAAATAAAGCATTACATCATATCACTTTTTAATATAAAACATAGTTTGAATTCATATTTATATTTGTATTATCACAAACACCTTGTATGCACTATTTAATTGATTAAAAATTCAAATTGGATAGTGTTTGACTTTCTTAAAAAGAAAATTGGAAGACTATGTCACTCTGTAATGCAAATCATATTTACATTCATTAATTTATATTCATATTTACATTTTCACAATCACTTTATATGTATCTTTCTAATTAATTCAAAATTGAATTTCAATACACAATAATTCACCACAATCCAAAGTTGAACTTTCATATATACTAACAAAAATCTCAAACTCATAATAAAATTGCTATTGATTTTGCAAAGTAAATTGTGTTTGTAACTTACCTTTAAAAAAATAATAATAAGAACTTGTAAAGCAATTGGATAATGAAATTGAAATAGGAGATAAAGATATTACTAAAATTTTGCACTTGAAAACTTATAATCTGATAAATAAAAATCATAACAAAAATAAATCATTATAATACCTGAAAATAGCTAGATGTGCAATTTATAATTGTCAAAATTGAAGAAAAGAATGCCTGAAATTAATTTTGAATTTGAATGGAGATTTGAAGAAAATAGCATGCAGCGATGTTTAACAGTATCAATTTTGGACTTAATGCTGTAATTAATACGATTTGTTAAGTATAAATCATTTTTATAATGATTTTTCAAAAAGTACCTACCTTTTTGTATTTTGTGTAGTTACACATCTTAAAATGTGTACATAATTCTCTCTTTTAAATAAAAATTGTAGACAAGAAAGTGATTTCTTGGAGTTAAATGTTTATTATTTACTAAACTTATACATCCATCACGCTTTATTCACAAAATTATAAAATATTTTTCAGCTAGCTACTGTACTTTAATATGCTGCACTCCATCACTCACTTACCATATTTCATGAGTCACTGAACTTTATAAATGCTTTCGAGTGGTCATCGAACTTTAATATGTTGCATCCTATCGCTCACTAAATATATTTTATTAGTCACTGAATTTATACTTCTATCACACTCTACTCAATGAACTTTATAATGCTTTCGAGTGGTCACCGAACTTTACTCATTAAATTTAACTGTTCAAAAATTGAAAATTTTGAAGTATAAAATACCATACCCTAAGACAATGCCATTATTTCCTTTTGAATTAGCTTGTGACAATTTTAAAAATTATATACTTTTTACTATTGATTAATATTTTTGATTCTAAATCAAATATTTCACTACCTATTTGAAATATAATGTTTTTTATTTTATTGATTTGGTTTATGATCTCAATAAAAATAAAAGAAATAGTTTCTTCATTTTATTTTCTTGACATAAAGAAAGATTATCATCTAAATTAAGATTTATATTAATTTGAAGTTAGCATTCTTAAATCCTCTTGAAACATAGCTTTTGATGATTAGAGAAGTTATATCTTCTTGTTCAATGTCAATATTATTGTCTAAGATTGAAAGTGTCATTATCTAGTCGATATTTATTTTATTTTGTTTTCTTTATCTAGGTTGAATCTCATAGAAAATCAACTTTATTCAAAAAAATTATGAAACTCAATGATCACTTGAAATCATTTTAAAATTTAGTGAGTAAAGCATGATGAAGATATTAACGAGACATGATGAGTAAGTGATAAAGCGTAACATGTTAACATTCAATAACAACTCGAAAAATATTCTAAAATTCAATGACTCATGAACATGATAAGTGAGTGATGAAGTACAAAATGTTTGAAAGTTACTTGTTCAACCATAAAATCATCTAGATGGGAGTGAATAGGTGAATAAAACGGAATTAAAATTATCAATTAAAAGCAACAAGGTACATTTTAATTGTTTTAGATGTTTAATCAATTAGGTTAATTTTATCATATGTAGAATTGTCACAATTGTAAATAAAGCAATAAATAACACATGATTTGTTGATGGAGAAAATCTTTCATAGCATTAAAAACTTCGGTAACAAACCAGTGACTTCCACTATTGACAATATGAACTTATGGTTTGATCAAGCATAGAAAACCCACTAGACTAGCTAATTTAATTCCTGCAATCTTCAAGACCCGCTAGAATGTGTTTTATTCATACTTGCTCCCGATCTTCTGAGATTGTCTATTTACTATGGATCACCAAGAATACCTTATTTTTGCACTCTTTTTATGCTTTTAGTCCAACCTCCCTCAATCTGTAGTAACCTCTGAAAGCTATTAAGAAAATACCTTTGTGATTATGTGTTAGAAAGTGGGTGTTTTGAATTATATGATTTTGATGTTTTTTCTCAACTTGTGGTTGAATGATCTCAAGATGTAGAATTGTTATTTGATCTACAAAGAATGTTATGAAAGTAGAATATAACGATTAACCACACCTTTTCACGAAGTAGGGCTTATGTATTTATAATAGAGAGGTATTAGGGTGGTATAGGATACATAGAACTTTTGAAAATTGCGAACTCATTCGAGCATTAGGCGAGCGATAGTCAGAGTGACGGGTGAGCAACAATAATTCTGTTTTGGACATTCAAGCATCAGCTTTGTGACAGACTAGCATTATTTCAACGACTCTTTTTTTCATATTTTATACTCAAACCCAAAGATTTTTTTGTTCATCTATACAAAATTCCAATAGACTCCTTGAGTTTTACAATTCTTTTTTAATAATTATTTTATATAAAAAATTGCCAATACAATTAAAACTTAACAGTGTCAAAGTTTATTGATCATTTGATGTCCTTTTAAAATTGAGTGCATAAAACATGATAAAGGCATAGGCATAATTTCGATGACTAATTTCTTGTTCAATTTTATGGGGATATACATGAAAATGGCCCAAATAGTATATAACCTTTTCCAAAATAACCTTTGACTTTTTTAGAAATTTGAAACTACCCAAAATATCCTTGGAAAAATTTAACAACCAACCCTTTATATAATAAAAAGTTTCTTTTTTTAGTCCTTAAAAAATCTAACAAATAATTTTTCTAAAAATTTGTAAAAATTATTAATGAATAATTATAAAATGGAAAAGCCCAAATATAAGAGAGGACCATATAATATAAAAAAGGTTGTTAAAAATAAAAAAGAAATTAAATTTGAAAAAGAAATTGATAAGATAGGATATCAAGAACAATTATATGCATCACAAGAAATATTAAAATGTTTTAAAGAAAACTTATTAGAAAATTTCGCTAAAGGAATTGTAAGGTCAATAATCATAAAAGATATACAAGATATAATAGATAAATTGGAAAAAAGAAAGAAAAGTATCTCAAAATATGAAATACCTTTTGGAACAGACATAGATATGATAACAGATATTGATATTATAAATTCTCAAACATTATTAGACTTTGAAGAATTACTTAAAAATTTATGAGATTAAAAATTTTGATATTTTGATTATTAGATTATTAGATTTTTGTTCGCTCATAGTAGCACCCATAGAGTTGGTATCAGAGCCATAGAGATCATGGAAATCTTAAAAATAAATAATTATTATCAATGTATTGAAGAAAAAGGATGTTATATATTTTACAACCCTATCCCTAATAAACTAAAAATAATAACATTATATATAACTAGGAATTTACCTAGAGAAATAAAGGAACAAATATTACATAAATTAATTATAGGATTTATCAAAGATAGACGTACATATGAAATAATTTGTGAAATATTTGAAAATGAGTTGAAT